CAAAAATCAAATTTTCAGAACCAACCCTTTAAGGGCAATAGAACCCGAGGACAACCCAGTTCTAGACCATATCAACAGCCACCTAGAACTGGACCAAACTGGTTCGATAGACTGGTTCAGAGGCACAAAAACGGTTATGGACAAACGCCAAACCGAACTTTTCATAAGAAAACAAGAGGCTTTTATGGTAAATGGAAACCTAAATACATTGATACCTATGACAACCGAGTTTGCATGCATTGTGGCAAAATCGGGCATCTTCGGTATCAATGTCACTCTCGACAAAAGACCTTAGAAAGATGTTTTGACTATGTTCGATATCCATCCTCAAACAAATACAAAATGGAACCCAAACAAGTCTGGGTTCCACGGACTAACCCGTGATTCAGGAATAACGCCAAGTGAGGGGGAACAATCACTGGTCCCTTGACAGTGGTTGTTCTAAGCACATGACTGGAGACTCATCTTTATTCCTCTCACTTCGGCCATTTAATGGTGGGAAGGTGATATTTGGAGACAACGGCAAAGGAGAAATTGTAGCCGTGGGAAAAATTAGAAAATCACCCAACCATTTAATTGATTTTTTTTTTGTCAAGGTTATAAGTTCAATTTGCTAAGTATCTTTCAATTCTGTGATGGAGGTAACAATGTTATTTTTAATAAAGACTATGTGCTTATAATTGTTGATGATTTCTCAAAATATACTTGGACTATCTTTCTTGCTAGTAAGAAAGATACTTTTAATGAGTTTGTTGTTTTTGTAAGGAAAGTTGAGCATCAAATAGGGCAACAATTAATTAAGATCCGTTCGGATCATGGGACCGAATTTGACAATACGCTCTTCGATACATTCTGCCAAGAACGAGAGGTGGTAGAATGAAGAAATAGAACACTGAAAGATATGACTAGAACTATGTTCATATCTAGTGGTCTAGCAAAGAATTTATGGGCAGAAACTCTAAACGCGGAGATTGCACCAATTCCATGAGAAAGGGGGAACCAATCATGAAACCAATCGGCATGAGGAGATAGGAACAGGAACTGATGATTACACGCTTAGAACTGAGGATGTACCCAGTCAATCCACTGCAAATTAGACTGAAGAACATGCAGACCTAGTTCCAGGCGACTTGTGTGAAGTTGTAAATCATCCTCATGAGGATGTAAACTTCATCAATCACATCCTTTGGATAATCTCTTGACCGATCTAAATCAGGGAGTAACTACTAGATCTAAACTTAGAATTTTTTATGCCTTCTTTGCTTATCTATCAGTTATAGAACCGGAGAACCATGAAGTGGCTCTCTCCGACGCTGACTGGTTTCTAGATATACAGGAAGAACTTAATCAGTTCGAAAGAAATAAAGTGTGGCATCTAGAACCAAGACCTGAGAACAAAAACGTAATTGGTCTCCAATGGGTATTCAATAACAAGCTTGATAAACATGAACAAATACGGATGGAACTTGGGTTCAAGCTATTTATTGTTTTGTTGTTGACAAAAGGGGGAAGAATATGTGCCCTACGTGTTCTATGCTTGATACTTTGTGCTTATACATTATGATACTAACTTTAGGGCACCAAGTGTTTGTCATCAACAAAAAGGGGGAATTTGTTGGAACATATTGTTTTGTTGATGACAAACGACTAGTGTTACTTTTGGTCTATAAGTGATTGCAGGAAAGGAAGATAAGTCGTGCTTTGGAACAAGCCGTAGACCTGAACCCGGAACTATCCTACAACGGACATATATGTTTTGTTGATAACTAACCATGCAGGTGGAACGACGAACAGAACCACTATCAGTTCCATACGGAACGGAAGACAGAACTATCCTTAGTTCTGTTCTGTGCGAATGGGTGACATACATGATTAATATGTGCTAGCATAATAATACTATGGTTGGGTTGAATTGTCACCTACGGTCAAGATCTTATTTGATGTAGTCATGCATATTATAATTATACGTAATACAATCTCTTTCCATGCATGATGGGATACCCATTCAAATTAGTCTAATTCTTTATGGAAAGAATCCTTTTGACCATAACATACGTATGTGTGCTAATTAAGTGCCTTGCTATTTGTTAAGTAAATATTCTTTACGGTTTGAATTATTATCTTTGATTGAGAGATTAAAATAAATATCTTAAAGGATCTTTAAGTGCTAATGCATGATTGCATGTTGACCGTGCAAGTCTATTTTTAAGTAAATAATTTATTACTTTTGGAAAGATTACTTGACTAAATTATATATGGTTTGATGATAAGTGAATTAACGTAACTATCTTTCTTTATACGGATATTGCTTGTGAATTTATAGTTGTGATATTTTAAATATCTTTATTTGGCTGCCTTATATATTGAGCTTGACTATGGCAAATATTATGAAAGGAAAGCAATTCAAAATATCAAGGCAAGTCACAAGATTAGAAGATCAACTATTCAAGGAAGGATGCTCAAACGGTCTGCCCAAGACTGCCCATATAAACGAAGCAGCCAAAGAGAAATAAAGGTGTGCTTGACCAGAGAAATATTCAGAGACACACTCGAGAAAAATACGAAGTTCAAGGCACCTGAAACTGCTCACTCGGAGTTCCAGATAGAGTTTCTTCTTTCCCTTCTTCATATTGTACTGGGGTTTTGAGGATTGGCTAAGAGTAGCCTCCTCGGGTTGGTTTGTATGTGTGAGAGCTTTGTTGTAAAGCTGAGAGGCTCTCTACCCGCAAGGTAGAGATGCATAACTCTTCCTAGAGAGGATAGAGTTGGGGTGGCTCAAGGGTAGACTAGGAGAGTTTCCCTTGTAATCATTCAAAAGGCTTTTTAGTGAAGTTGTTTAAAATTCCTCCGAGGGAGGTCGAGGTTTTTTAATCCCTTTGAGCCAAAGGATTTTTCCTCGTTAAATCCTTGTGCACTTTACTTTCGCAATTCCCTTTACCCCGCACTAGAACTGGGCGAAAAACTGCCTCGGTTCCACACACACACAATTCACCCCCCCTCTTGTGTTGCTAACCGTTTTCATCACCACGCCCAGCCGGTCACACCCCTCTGCCGACAATCCCTTGTCGCAAGGATAAGAAGCCGTTCCTCGATAAAAAATGATAGTGGAAATATACTCTAGCGGCATTAAGCCCTAGAGAGAGACATTCCAAATTTTTTCTCATAATTTCATGATTTGAAAGCTGAATATTTTATGTAACTGAAGGTAAACTGTGTTCATTTTAACTAGAACCGAACCGAATTTCACAACTACGTTTTTAACTAGAATCGAACTGAACTTAATGCCTATAATTTTTAATATGGTTCCATCGCATTTTAACAAGAACCGAACTGATCTCAGAACTAATTGCTACTCTCACCTCTCAAATGATCTCTTTCAATTCTTTTGAGTAATAATGTCTATTGACTTGCTGATCTTGAAACTATGGCATCTGTGCCCCCCTTTGCTGTTCAAAATGGCAAAAACTTCTGAAGTGATTGCTTAGTGATTGTTCGATAACCACTATTTTTTTGCATGTGCAGAATTGGTTTATAACAAATTAAAATATATGTGTATTGTTTTCAATGTTTTGTAAGTTGCAGTTTAATGTTTATATCCATATTTTAATGTTAATGAAATATATTTGAAAGGTAGGGCCTATTTGGTAATACTGAAATTGGCTGAATCGGTTGATTCTTCTGAAATTTATGAAGTTCTGGCTGAAGTGGCTGGATCGGCTGATTCTGCTGATTTATGTAACAATTATATTTAATTTATTAATAAAATGAAGAAAATATTATATGAAAATAGCTAAAACGACAATCTACATAACTACAGCCAAAACAACCAGAAAAGTAATCCCGACCTTACTTTTTCTTATTATTAAACAATTCAGCGCGCAAAATCAAAAGTTACGTGTTTGGTGAAAAAGTTGGTTGATAAGCCTGATAAGTCGAAATACAAGGTCACCAAACGGGCTCGTAATGTATTTCACAACTGCTCAACAAATGCAGTTATGTCGGACAAAACCATTGGGTGCGAACCGTTCATTTTTGTACATCACAGTTGCGAAATAGAGGCTAGTGTCTACATGGACCCTTAAATAATGATATATTTTAGCACACCTAAATTAGATGATATGAAAGAGTCGATAAATGATGTGGAATATGTGACATGGTCATTGTTCTGCCCAAGCATAGGTGGATGTGATAATTGTGCTGACATGACGGATTACAAAGTAAAAGTACTTTTATTTGGAAAACAAGTTTAAGACTACTCACATTAAGGAAATAAGATTGAAAATACCTCTATTATTTGGGGGAAAACTCCATTTCCGGTGGTGGCTCATCAGTCATCATTAAGTGATTTAGATCGTTTGATCTAAAAACATTATAATTGTGAATATGAGTTAGTATCCCTAATTTGTGTCAATCTTTTTATGCATAATGGCTTGTACATTCATTCTAAGATATAGCTCTAAATTTTTCTAATAGACTAAAATGCCATTACACCGTTAGAAATTAACTTGACTAGCTAACTCATGTTCAAATAACATAACACTACGTTACAACCTATATTAGTACTTTTTTTGAAGAAATTTTATTGAAATAAAGCAAGCTAGAGTACATGAGAAAAAGGAACAACAACAAAAAAAACCTACCAAGGAGAAATAAAAATAAAAAAAATAAGAAAATAAAAAAAACACCCAACCCAAAGCCTAATAAGAAATCCCCTAAATTTCTTGATAACCTATATTAGTACCTTTATTAGTGCATTAACTTCAAATACACTACAAATAAGCACATTTTTATTACGTTAAGTTCAAATAACAATAAAAAAAAAGTACATTACTATCATTATTAGTTCATAAATTAGGAGTCAATTTTAGAATCTTTCAAATAATTTAAGTATATATAATAGAATATATTCTATATCATTTACAGAAAAAAATTAATAAATAGGAAAATATATTGATTAATATCACATGTTTGTATGAATCATTGATGAAAATTATTGATTATTGGGCATTAGCTTTCGCGCATTGCGCGTTAAAATAGCTTTTTTTAAGAAGACTAATTCATTTCATTACTAATAAGATGTTGAATACAATCCGGAGGATGAAAAAAGTCTTGACGGGAAGCATAACAGGTAGATGACTTAGCAAGAGCATGTGCACTACCATTGGCTTGCCGTTTAGTAAAAATGACAAAATATTCATTTCGATTTTGTAACATTGTTTTGCATTCTTGTATCAATGCGCCATACTCGGAAAGATATCTTTTATCCAGTCTAAGATCATCAACAACTTGTTTACAGTCCATCTCAAACTCAACCTTTGTATGGCCCATTTCTCCCATCCACAATAGAGCTTGTAGCAGACTCCACACTTCTGCCTCACTAGGACTCATTCTTGCTCGAAGCCAAGACGTTCTTGCACCAAGAAATTTACCCATATGGTCACGCAAGCAAAGACCTGCCCCCACAAATCGACCACCTGCTATTAAAGCACCATCAACGTTGCTTTTGACCCTCGAACTTGGCGGCGGTATCCATCTTGCATTGTTAGTTCTCTCATTCCTATTCGGTGTTCGCCCTTGATAATGAGCAGTCTCCCATGCTTTCAATATGTCAGCAGCCCTCATATTAATGTGATGCTCAGTCTTTACCACACCATCCCAGTGTTTGACATTTCTAGCCCGCCAAATGCTCCATAGTACCATAGCAGCCCTTTTGCATTCCCATTCCTCCAGATTCTGCAGCAGCAACCACACTAACTCACTAAAACCATCCACATGGTGTGAAGCTTCCTCTATCTTCGGCCAAAGACCTGCAATTTTCAAAGTTTTTTTACTAAGACCACATTGAGTAAACAAATGCCAATTATGCTCCTCTTCCATTCCGCACAGAACACATAAAGACGGACATGCAACTCCTTTTTTCCGAAGACACATACGATTTGGCAAACAATTCCTGGTAGCCCGCCAAAGAAACGTTCGGACTTTAAACGGGACAGCCAAGTTCCACAATTTCCCCCAGGCACCTTCACGTTTTAAATGTTCCATGCTTATCAACTTTTCCATGCATACACGGTATGCACTTCTCACAGTATAGCGGCCATATTTATCAAATTGCTAGACCGGCGTATCTTCTTTACCTTGGCGCACCAAAGGAATGCTAAGAATCTCCTCCGCGTCTCTGGGTAGAAACATATCCCGAATATAGCTCTCATTCCAACCTCCTTTATTTCCATCAATAAGGTGATACACTTTCAATCCTTCACTATTTTGAGCTGCCATGGTATGCACCATTGGATCCTCCTCATTCTGTAGCCATGGTGTCTTCCAGACACTAATAAGCTTCCCGTCACCTATACTCCACCTAAAGCCCTCCTTGACCAGTGCTTGGGAAAACCAGATGCTACGCCACACATAACTAGGATTATGGCCCAAAGCCGCTCCCAGAAAGTCCCCCTTCGGAAAATATTTAGCTTTGAAGAGTTTAGAAACTGTAGCCTCCGGATTGGCCAAGAAACGCCAACCTTGTTTTCCCAGTAATGCCAAGTTGAAGCCATGTAGATGACAAAATCCTAAGCCCCCATGCTCCTTACGCACTGACAATTTCTCCCAGCTAAGCCAATTAACACCCTTTCTTTCCCTTTTAGCTGAACCCCAATAGAAAAAATTCATCATCCGTTCAAGTTCTTCCTGTAATGTAGTCGGCAGAAGGAAAGCACTCATACAATAAGTAGGGATAGCTTGCACCACTGATTTCACTAAAACCTCACGTTCGGCCTGAGAAAGCATTTTGCTCTTCCATGAAGAGATTTTCCTCCACACCCTTTCTTTAATATAAGAGAAAATAGCTTTCTTGTTCCGGCCTATCATGGAAGGTAAACCCAGATATTTACCCGTCCCTAAACACGGATATTTACCCGTCCCTAAACACGTCTGGACACCTAAAATGGATGATATATGTTCACGCTTATTAGGCTGAACATTACTGCTAAACATGATTTCCGATTTCTGCATATTTATGCATTGCCCTGATACCATCGCATAGGTGGTTATTATGCTATGGACCTTCTCCGCCTCTTCCTCAGTTGCTCTAAAGAACAAGAAACTATCGTCTGCAAATAGAAGATGACTTATCACATGAGCACCCCTGCAAATCTTCACACCATGCATCTCACCTCTTCTTTCAGCCTTCTGTAAAAGAGCAGAGAATCCCTCTGCACATAGGATGAATAGATACGGGGATAAAGGATCTCCTTGTCGCAGTCCTCGCTGAGGCATGATCGGGCCAACTTTATCCTCATTAATCAGCAATGAATATGTAACCGAAGTTACACACATACGCATCCATCCAATCCATTTCTGGCAGAAATCTATAGTTTCTAAAACCATAAAAAAGGTAACCCCAATCAATCCGGTCATATGCTTTGATAATGTCGATCTTCAACGCAGCTGCTCCTTGAATACCCCTTGTTTTACATTTAAGGTAGTGAATTATTTCAGATGCTACTAGAACATTGTCCATAATAAAGCGACCCGAAACAAAACCTGATTGCTCTTTGGAGATGCACTTTGGAAGTATCGACTTTAGACGGTTAGCTAAAACTTTAGCTAAAATTTTATAAACGACATTGCATAAAGATATTGGCCTAAAGTCCTTCATGGAAGATGGGTTTTCACTCTTCGGTATAAGAACAATGTTAGTTTCTCCCATTGAAGCTGGTAAAGTTCCCTCCGCCAACCAAGTCCGACAAGCAATAGAAATATTCCTCCCACATAACTCCCAAAAGCGTTTATAGAAAGCTGGATTAAGGCCATCCGGGCCTGGGGCTTTGTCACTATGCATTTCAGATAATGCCTCTTTAAACTCATTATCAGAAAAATCCCCAATAAGTTTTTTGTTGTCATCTTCAGTTACCACTCTCTGGATTGCAGATGTGACTAGATCATAATCTGCAGGTGAGGCTGTGAATAAATGCCTGAAGTAATCACCACCCACTTCACAAAGATCCTTCCTCGTTGTAGCCACTGTACCATCATCCCTCTGCAGTTTTAGAATCATATTCCTCTTCTTCCTTGTTGTTGCAGCAACATGGAAAAACTTGGTGTTCATATCCCCATCACGCATCCAAAAAACCTTAGCCCGTTGTTTCCAGAACTGCTCCTCCTGTATTAAAAGGAGAGACAACCTCTCCCGCAGATACAACAATTCCCTGCCAGCTCTCTCTGTCTCTAGTTCTCTTAATTCTGCAATGCGAGATTTGCATCTATCAATGGCTTCCTTATATCTTCTTCTCAGTTTCCTTCCCCATGTATCAAGCTCCTTCGTGTATAAATTCAGTCTCTCTAAAATGGGATCATCAGCTCCTCTCAACCATCCTCTTTCAACAACTTGATTTAATTCTTGTTCAGTCAACCAAGAATTTTCAAACTTAAATTGTCTTCTATGAAAGATATAAGTTTGTGCTTCCGTTTCTAACAGAATTGGTGAGTGATCTGAATGGCTAGTCACGAGGTTGGTAAGACGACATAGGGGAAACATATCAAGCCAACCATTATTACCCATTGCCCGGTCAAGCCTTTCTTCAATTGCATCCTCAGTCCCAAGACTCTTCCACCAAGTAAATTGCCTCCCTTGTAGAGGAATATCCACCAGGTCACATTCCCGCACCACCTCCCTAAACCCATTTATCAGCCATTGTGGATGCTCCACCCTACCCCTCTTTTCATTTAAGTGAAGCATGTCATTAAAATCTCCCATGATACACCAAGGAAGGTTTGAGTGATTTGCCAATGCTCTCGGTATATCCCATGATTCTCATCTTCTACCTCTGTCTGGTATACCATAGAACCCAGTAAGTCTCCATGAGCTATTCATGTCATCTTTTACAATTACATTTATAAAGTGCTTTGAATAATTTAAAATTTCGCATGTGTTAGTTCTCCTCCATAGTATAGCCAAACCGCCGCTCCTTCCTTCTCTATAAAAAACAAAGCATGCTTCAAAACCCAAAACTCTACGAACCTCTTCCATTTTATTCCACCCACATAAAGTTTCACATAAGAAAATCACATCCGGCTTGTGACACCGGACTAGGTCCTTAAGGGCTGGAACTGCTCTCGGGTGACCCAAGCCCCGACAGTTCCAACTTAAGACTATCATTGGTCCTGGTGGGCCTGGGAACCAGGACCCACCCCAAAAAAAGTTTTTGTGTAAGATACATCTCCATGTCTCTCCCTCGTTACTATCTGCGTTGTACTCTCCAGAACCCTTTTTCTTTTTTTTATCCAAGGATATCTCATCATCCTCATCTTCCAATCCTTCTTGCACAGCCCCCAACCCCTTATTTATATGTGAGCTAGTATTCTCAGTACATTCTTCCCTCAACCATCTGCATATATTCATCCCTCCCTGCTTTTTCCTCTCCACTTTTAAGTCTGCACTCCATCCCTTTATCCCATTATCCTCTTCCATTTGGAAGAGCAAATCACACTGCTTATCAGCATGTCCCTGTAAGCCGCATAGATAGCAAAACGTGTTCAGACGTTCATACTTGAATTTTACCTCCTTGACATCCCCTTCCATAGCCTTAATCTTCTTTCCTCGTTTGAGTGGTTTTCGAACATCTAATTTAACCCTGATTCTCATATAGTTCCTCCAAAACCCTATGTTATTCTTTTTGTCATACTCCAGAAACTGACCAATATAATTTCCCAGAGCAGCCCCAACCTCGTTGGTCATCAAAATCATAGGAACTCCATAAACTCGGATCCAGAAGTTCACATAGTATAATGGAACCTGATCTGGTAAATCATTAACCCCCATTCTTTCCAAGATAAGGAGATGGTTATCAAAGTGCCACGGACCATCATTAAGCACACGCTGCATATCCAACATATGATAAAATTGGAAAGGGAAAATGGAAACTAATAATCCAACCTTTCAGCGGTCTTCTTTTAATAATCTCACCTTTTTATTATTCATGAATAATCCAACCTTTGCACCTCATCTTCATTCATTGGTCCCTGATCGGTTAATGACCTACTATTCCAAGTTATTTTCTTATCTTTGCAAAATATTATCTTTGTGAAAGATGAGATTTATGATATAATGATTTGCAAAGATAAGAAAATAGCTTGAAATAGCAGGTCATCAACCGGTCAGGGACCAGTGAATGAAGATGAGGTGCAAAGGTTGGATTATTCATGAATAACCAAAAGGTTGGATTATTGTAAGAAGACCGCTAAAAGGTTGGATTATTAGTTTCCATTTTCCCAATTGGAAAAGAAATAACCCCTTCTGTACCTCTTTTATGGAAACCCCTTCATGCGGCTCCCAAATTGTGGCTAATCGTTCCTTCATCATATGTGGACGAACAGCTTTCGTAGTTAAGAATCTCCCCACAAGACATAGATTACCATCAGCAGCCCTCTCACTTGGAATCGATTGTGAGAGAACAAGGACGTTAAGGATCAGAAAGATCCAGAATATGTGCTGTTCTGTTCGTCTTATTCTTATTACTTATTGTTTATTTTTATTTTATTCAGATCAGTTCAGATCAGATCAGAAAGATTCAGATCAGATCAGATCAGAAAAATTCAGATCAGATCAGATCAGAAAGATTCAGATCAGATCAGACCAGATCAGAAAAATTCAGATCAAATCAGAAACATTCAGATCAGATCAGAAAATTTCACACATGATTTATCACTTTTATTATTATATTAATTATTATTATTATTATTATTATTATTATTATTATTATTATTATTATTATTATTATTATTATTATTATTATTATTATTATTATTATTATTATTATTATTATTATTATTATTATTATTATTATTATTATTATTATTATTATTATTATTATTATTATTATTATTATTATTATTATTATTATTATTATTATTATTATTATTATTATTATTATTATTATTATTATTATTATTATTATTATTATTATTATTATTATTATTATTATTATTATTATTATTATTATTATTATTATTATTATTATTATTATTATTATTATTATTATTATTATTATTATTATTATTATTATTATTATTATTATTATTATTATTATTATTATTATTATTATTATTATTATTATTATTATTATTATTATTATTATTATTATTATTATTATTATTATTATTATTATTATTATTATTATTATTATTATTATTATTATTATTATTATTATTATTATTATTATTATTATTATTATTATTATTATTATTATTATTATTATTATTATTATTATTATTATTATTATTATTATTATTATTATTATTATTATTATTATTATTATTATTATTATTATTATTATTATTATTATTATTATTATTATTATTATTATTATTATTATTATTATTATTATTATTATTATTATTATTATTATTATTATTATTATTATTATTATTATTATTATTATTATTATTATTATTATTATTATTATTATTATTATTATTATTATTATTATTATTATTATTATTATTATTATTATTATTATTATTATTATTATTATTATTATTATTATTGTTATTATTATTATTGTTATTGTTATTGTTGTTATTGTTATTGTTGTTATTGTTATTGTTGTTATTGTTATTGTTGTTATTGTTATTGTTGTTATTGTTATTGTTGTTATTGTTATTGTTGTTATTGTTATTATTATTATTATTATTATTATTATTATTATTATTATTATTATTATTATTATTATTATTATTATTATTATTATTATTATTATTATTATTATTATTATTATTATTATTATTATTATTATTATTATTATTATTATTATTATTATTATTATTATTATTATTATTATTATTATTATTATTATTATTATTATTATTATTATTATTATTATTATTATTATTATTATTATTATTATTATTATTATTATTATTATTATTATTATTATTATTATTATTATTATTATTATTATTATTATTATTATTATTATTATTATTATTATTATTATTATTATTATTATTATTATTATTATTATTATTATTATTATTATTATTATTATTATTATTATTATTATTATTATTATTATTATTATTATTATTATTATTATTATTATTATTATTATTATTATTATTATTATTATTATTATTATTATTATTATTATTATTATTATTATTATTATTATTATTATTATTATTATTATTATTATTATTATTATTATTATTATTATTATTATTATTATTATTATTATTATTATTATTATTATTATTATTATTATTATTATTATTATTATTATTATTATTATTATTATTATTATTATTATTATTATTATTATTATTATTATTATTATTATTATTATTATTATTATTATTATTATTATTATTATTATTATTATTATTATTATTATTATTATTATTATTATTATTATTATTATTGTTATTACTATTATGATTATTATTATTATATAATTATTATTAATAATATTAAAAATAATATGATAAAAAATAAGATATTAATAATAACTATAATATTGTAATATAGTCATAGTAATATAAATGCAATTATTAAGAAGACTATTATTATTATTATTATTATTATTATTACAATATAATAATAATAATAATATGATAAATATTATTATAATATTATATTATAATTATATTTAATTATAATTATAATTATTATAATTATAAGTATAATCAATTTTAATTATTATAATTATATCTATAATTAATTATAATTATCATTGTAATTAAATATAATTATAATTATAATTACAATCATAATTATAATTATGATTATAATTATAATTATAATATAATATTATAATAATATAATACTAATTATAATAATAATCATATTATTATTATATCATTGTAATAATAATATTAATATAATAATATCGTTATAATAATAATAATAATTGTATTTATATTACTATTATTATATAATAATATTATAATTAATGTTCACATAATTATAATTATTATTAATTATAATTATAATAATTATAATTATACTTATAATTATATTATAATTATAATTATTAATATTATTATTATCATTACTATGGTAATTATTTTACGGAGTAATTATAGTAATATTGATAACTATAGTTACAATTATAGAGATAAATATTGTAATTATAATTACAATTATAATTATATAAGTAATTATAATTAAAAATATAATTATATCTATATTTATAATTAGTGTAATAGGTATAATTTGTTTCATTTTAAATTTAATTATTATTATTATTATTATTATAGTTAGGATTATAATTATAATTATAATTTTATTTAAATTATATTTTTAATTACAATTATAAGAATTATAATAATTATAATTATAATTATAGAAATATTCAAATCAGATCAGATCAGAAAGATTCAGATCAAATCAGAAGGATTCAGATCAGATCAGAAACATTTAGATCAGATTAGACGAGATCAGAAACATTAAGATCAGAAAGATTCAGATCAGATCAGATCAGATCAGAAAGATTCAGATCAGATCAGATCAGAACTTAAAAAATTCAGATCAGAAACATTCAGATCAGGCGAAGAGAACAGCTTCTTAGTCTTCTGCGGATTCAAATCCACTTCTCACAAGGAGAGAAACCCTAGTCGTCAACTTCTCACAAGGAGAGAAAAATATCTTGGTGTATGTAGCTCAATTAGGATGTTTTTACTTGGACTGTAATTTGTCCCAGACCAGACCAGACCAGACCAGTTCAAACCAGACCAGACCAGACCAGACCAGACCAGACTTGGATAGTTATAAAAATACAAAGAAACCAGACCTTACCTGACCAGACCAGACCAGTTCAGACCAGACCAGACCAGACCAGCAAATTATAGTCCAAGTAAAAACATCCTTAGTTGGAGAAGTGCCACGCGCGTAAAAATAGCTAGTCATATACTATGTACTCCCTCCGTCTCCTTTTAAATGGGACGGGAGATGGTGACACGGGTTTTAAGAAAAGTGAGTTTGTGTGGTTGATATTAATTGATAAAGTAAGAATAAAGTAAGAATGATTTTGAGCCACACAAAGTTTACCAAATAAAGTATGAGGCAATTAAATAGGGACATCCCAATATGGTAAAACGGGACATTTAAAAAGGGACGGAGGGAGTATATAAGAGGTAAATGTGTAAAGTCCTACCGGCCACCGCATCCGTTGCTGTCAAAACTATCAGGTCCAAATTGAAGCTACTCCAGTTATTCTCCATCAATCTGTCCATCCTGTGCCTCTCTTAATTAGCCATCTTTGATTTTTCCAAACAAAATTCTAGACATTGATTGATAATATATTCATATATAAAAATAATTATACTATGACAACAATATGTAAATAGTTTTGTTAAAATTTCTATCATAAAAGTATAAAATTTATAATGTTGACTATGATATATATTGTAGATACTAAAATGATTGGGTAAAGTTTACAATCATCTATTTTTTTGAATATAAATGATCGGCTTTTATATTAAAATCGAGAAAAGATACAAGATAACATCCAAACAATTATGACATGTCCGAAACACCTCATCTTGATTTGCTAGACACGAAACGGACAATTTAAAGCCTAAAACAATCGGGACCTAAACACTGTCTATCAAACATATGCTAGAAGTCTAAATTTTCAAACCAAACCTACTGAAACAAAAATAAAATCAAGTACTACTAATGTAAATTGAAATTAAATATTTCCACAAAACTCTTCATGACACGGATGTGATTCTGGAGAAGTACGAACTCTACCAATGTCTATGCACTCTGGAAGAAAGCACACAGAAACCCCTGATCAGACGAAGCTAGCCGAGACACCAACAGAACTCCCCACATCGAGAGAGACAAACCATCCTGGAGCACCAATGCCCGGGAAAGAACCACCATAGATCAAAATTAATACTACCAGAAGAGAAAAACAATCCAATTGGATCAACATCCAATAATTTGGATCAAGAAGTAATGAGCCTCAAAATTCATATCCTAGGATGAAAGATCCGATCGGTCCCTTTTACAAACTTCAGATTGTGATGAGGCCTGCGGAAGAAAGTCACCTTGCTCGTTGGCCGCACGCTACTTCACTTGTTGCGGTAGGGTTTCTTCATGGAAGCTCATACCTGACACATTGTACAACCGGTGACATTTTGATAATTTAAATGAAATTCGCCTCTTCTGCTAAATGAGCATTAATGCACGTTTAATTTAGTGAGCATCATACATATTTTGTTGAGCATTAGAAGACTAACAATGAGCATCGTGATCACCGCTTCATATCTTTCTTTTTCTTATTTTTTTAATAAAAACTTATTAAATCATATCTATAATCAACTCTTATAAATTTCAATATGCAAATCTAATGTAATATAATACTTTTGAAATATGCATTGACATGACATTTTAAAAATGAGCATAACATCAATAAAAAATGAGCATACGTAACTTACAAAGCATTACACTAATATCAAATGAGGACACAAACTTACGAAATGAACATCGAAAAATTCAAAAAACTCATTTAAAATTTCTAGTATGCTCAAATAATAAATGAATACATAACTTATGAAATGAGCATTGAAAAATTTGAGATGAGCATTACACCAAAATGCATGTATATGACATTTTAAATTGTCTAATGTAATGCTTATTTTTAAATTGCATTACACAAATACCACATGAGCATAGATAGCTCACGAAAAGAGTATCAAAAATTTTAAAAAACTCATTCAAAATCTTGAATGTGCTTAAATATCAATTTGTGTATGCTCATATCAGTAGATCATAAAGCATACATTCCTTATTTTAGAACAACCAATTTAATTGTGCTTATTTTTTAAAATCATATCAATGCAAATTTAAAATAAGTAATATACTCATAATTATTTAGAAGGTTGGAGAGAAGTACATGTTTTAATATGAATTTTTGAAAGAATTGCATGAAAAATTGTTGTAGAAAATTTACATAAAAATAAATAAGAAGCGGAAGTTCAAAATTAAAGAAGCAGATGACAAAATGTATATATAAAAAGAAAAATGAAAAATATTAGAAGTTAAAGAAAAATGAAAAACATAGAAGCAGAAAAGAAAAAGAAATGTTAAAATTAGAAAAATTAAAGTTCATGGTACAATCAGATGTATAGTATATTTTACCGTTTCTTCATGTATAATTTACCATCATCTATTTATATAAGGGAAAACTGTCACATAGGTCCTCGAACTTTTATAAAAAGGTCAATTAAGTCCTTCTATAGGAGGTTTTGTCCGGCCGTCGCGATTTGGGGCGGTTCCCGGTGGAATTGTTTGATGAAATTTTTTGAGCATCTTATTCATCAGGTCTAGTTTACTCATACCAAATGTCAGCTAAAAATTCAATCAGGAACACATTCAAATTAATTCGTGAAGATAACTTCGCATTTTTGCGTTCTCGAATTAATTTGAATACGTTCCCAATTGAATTTTTAGCTGAAATTTGGAATCGGTAAACTAGACTTGATGAATAAGATGCTCAAAAAATTTCATCAAAAAATCCACCGGGAACCGCCCCAAATCGCGACGGCCGGACAGAATCTCCTATAGAAGGACTTAATTGACATTTTTATGAAAGTTCAAGGACCTATATGACAGTTTTCCCTTTATATAACTATATAATATATGTGTGGAATGGATTCAGCGTATTCTTTGAATCCTATTACATCCAAATACATCCAATGTTTTTGGGGCGGGACAGGGTCTGGGGGAGGGGCGCTTTCATTTAAATAAAATGAAAGCCCATAAATTTAAAGGAATTTTAAAAAAATTTACAATACAACAATCTATTTTGGGAACACCTAGATTTCATGAAATTCTCAATTTTTAAAATCTAAAGCGGGGACACCCCTTAAAGGACATACTCCGTATAAGGGCATCCCCATCCATAGATTATTTTTGGGATCATTTTGATGATGTGGAGGATTTTTTTTGGGATCATGAATGAGGAGTTGAGATTATTTATGAGATTATTTGATAAAATAATCTGATATCAAATTCTAAAGTTGGATTATTTTGAGATTATTTCAAACTTTTAGACTCTCTCCATTTTCTAGGCATATACTCATAATTAAGGTGATGACTAGCTTTGTAGAGATTTTGAAATTGAGTACATGTCTCCTAAAAAATCTAGGTAAATTAAGATCATGGATGAGGAGAAATTGATAGGTTTGGAGATTATTTGAAATAATCTTATGTGGAAGTGGCATGATAATAAGAAGTCATAAAAAACCGTAAAGGTGAGTATCATGAATGGGCGGAGATGCTCTAAGAGATCATTCAAGATCCCCTACGAAATACGATAGTATAAACGATTATCCATACAAAGCATAATAGTCCAAGCGAACCCAACGAACTCAATTTTAAAAAAAAAATCAGTTGCAAACATAAGTCTCTAGAATTTGTACTATTTAAAAAGTCTTTAGAAGCTTCTAATTGTATGTTTTACATGACAAATTTTAATAACATTCAAAATATAAAAGATCTTTTTTGAGATGCTACAGGTAGTAGCATCCGAGAAAAGTCCGTGATTTTTAGTATTAATTTATCCTAACAGCTTGTATATCAAACAGATCTAAATCAAACAGTCAGCTTTTTACCAAACAGTTATCACCTTTTTTAAGATATTTTTAATCACTAAAAGTCTTAAGTAGTTAAGTTACTAAAATGCGTTGATTCATTTATTCTCTTTTAATTATCATATTCTTATTGGTTGGTTTGTTGTTCACATATAAGTGTTTATAGAGGTATTCATATTGTTTCTATTACTTTTATCGTCCATTAATTCAAATTTATTAAAACAAATTTATGTTCAATATAATTAATAGAAGATTTGTTAAAGAATATACAAAATCATGGTATTCCTATCTTGTGCGAACTCGAATATATTTCACGCCGCTATCACCGCTATACGCATCGCAGCGGCTGCAGTAGCCGCAACTGTCATGACTACTACCGCTACTGCTATGTAAGACCTTGGATCAGACTAGAACAGATCAAATGAGTTTTTTCTCAAAATTTTATCTATGCGATATTGGTGTCATATGAAAGATTATAAAAAATTATTTAATTTGATATGGAGTTTTTTTGTAAAGATATAACTACAAAAGAAAAAATTATGACAGTTTACAAAAAAACAATTGTTAATTAGTGACACAACACCAAATAAAAATAAAAAATAAAAAAATAGTGACACAGCACCAAATTAAAACGTAGGGCATATGAGCGTGTTCGGTGTTCGTGTGAAGCTTCAGAGCCCGTTTGGTAGCACGAAAATCGGCTGTTTTGGCCGATTCTGCTGAAATTTATGAAGTTCTGGCTGAAGTAGCTGCTTTGACTGTTTCTGCTGATTTAAGTAAAAATTATTTTTAAAATATGTTTTATTAATAAAATAAAGAAAAAGTTATATGTAAAAATAGCTAAAATGGTCATCTACAGTAACTTCAGCCAATACAGCCAGAAAAGTAACTCTAACCTTACTTTTTCTGCTTATTACACAATTTAGCGCGCGAAAGTAAAAGTTACGTGTTTGGTGAAAAAGTTGGCTGATAAGCCTGATAAGCCGAAAAAAAGATGTTTCCAAACACCCTCTCAATATACTCGGTATAGTCGTATAGAGCAGTTTAATTTTACGTTTGAATTAAAATGGGGCATAATGGTCTTGCTAGAGTTACATTAAGCAAAAACGGGGTGCGCGGAGCAACACCCATGTCCCAAACGTCTAGATATAGACGTTTTGTAGTTCTTGAATTAACCCATCTTGAATACCAGAACAAAAAAAATGCGTCAAGACAAATTAAACGTAAATAACCCAGCAAACGCGTTGCAATATAGGATTATAGGGTGCCGTTTGTACAATGTTTCTGAAGATGAAAATTCCTAAAAAATCTAAGATGCTGCGGAGTATATATATATATATACACATACCTTACGATGAAACTTAACTGGACATGGGACAGAATACAGTAGATATTATGGAGCACAGATGCGCACTATTCAAGTGTACAGCACTAGCAGTAGTACAAGACCTACATAGAGGTACACATGTACATGATGAACGACAAACAACCCGAAACACACTAACTGAAATAAAAACTCAGAGGCGATTTTCAGGCATTTGTTGCAACAGTTGCTACTTGCGCACCTCCCTGTGGTTCTTTTTATATTTAATTGATTTTGTAGGAGACTGCTGAGTAGGTGAGGAATCAACTAACATCAAACGGGACATCACATATGCCAAGAGTTCTTCCCGGTGAGAGAATGTGAAATCCAAGTGTGCGTATTCGAACTCATTATACGACACATCTACACCTCCTTCCCTCATTAACTCATAATGCTTCTTGATCATAGACGACCGGATAACCTTATCTTTCTTACCCGCAACAAGATCAACGGGAACATCAATGAGGCCATAATGCTCCCCCAGATCCAATGGCTGTGGCGAGCCGTAGTATGCTAGCATGTTTTCATGTGCATTCCCATAGTCGAACATGGCAAACTTCTTTGAGTGCTTGATTTGGGCAAGATGTTGAGCTACAAAGAACGCGACCCCCGGCATGTCATTCATGTTATAGTGTGGTAACCCTAGAACGCCGATCCAGTTTGAGCTGTCCCCCCCAACCACGTAACTAACTAGGGTTTGAACTAAACCTCCGACCGCTGGTAAGTTATGTAAATCACGGGCCAACTTGTTGAGCATCATGCGGAAGAACTTCGTGGGGATGTAGAAGGCCGGTACAAATGGTTTGAGGATTGGAGCTAGGATGAGGAATGAATATTCCATTAACGTGAAAGCCGGGTTGGAATCGTGATGGAAACCCGCAGGTGAAAGTAAGATCAATCTTGACAACCTGTGAGGCTTTCCTTCAATCCTTCGTGTTATGACATACATTAGTATGCCGGCCCCACCCAAACTATGGCAAACTGCACAAAGTCTGTAAGGTTGAACTATATTGGTCCCTTGATCCAAATCCTGTTGGCTGGATTTCAATTCTGAGACTTTGATTTCGTGGATCTTCTCTATCATTGCAGGTATGTCCTGTATCCCATGCTCGTTAATGGAATAATGCCAGTACCTGCATGTGCTCAATACCTTAAAGGCGTTTTTGGAACCAGGAAAATGATAGAGAAAGTGATTACAGGAAAGACAGATGAGAAACCCAAAAGGAAAGGGAATTTGGGGAGGAACGGAAAAAGATTTGGTTCACACATAGCCTAAAGGAATAAATCAACCAAGAAAAAGATAGGAGATTAAACCACTCACTGGCGGGAAGATATGTTCTTGTCAACATGTTCCCTGGATACCAATCCACGGAAGTTTCCGAGGAAAACATCATACCCTGATAAATATCGAGCCACGAAAGCATCGTTTTTTATTAGACAGCAATCACTTAAGTGGAAAAAAGTGCAAATTCATTGGGACAGTGTAGGCGCACCTTGGTCATAGGCAGCAAATGCTGGAGAACCGACCACTCCATTTGCTATCCAACTGTACAGTAGAAGAGGGAAAAAAATAAGAGATAAACAACTGCATGCAATATAAATCATACACATTAATATCACTGTGCCATGAGACTCCAAAGTCCAACCCACACACCTAAAGCCTCCATACACACACCGACACACACAAAAGCCCCTACAAGTTACGATCTCAGGCTGTATCCAATATAGACAGACAGGTTATGGAACTACACAAAAGGAGTCTATAGTGACCGCAAGTTAATACTTTCAATTAGATACAGTTATACACAAAAGACTAATCAATAAAACTATGCTTTCAATTAGATTAATACAAATTTAATATTAGTAGCTATATTTGGATATGAAATCACTGGTTAAAATATAACTCACCCCATGGAAGAATCAAATACTCCATGTTGTAGGTAAACAACTTTTCGAGCATCACGCCTACAAGTAAAGTTCCAAGCGACAAACACAATACAAGGATGAGATTCATACTGAACTATACAAATCGTAAGAAAAATAATGCTCACTGTTGGGGATAAATATCCGATATCCATACCTTGGTATTCTTTCTAACACAAGAACATATCCATCACCAGTAACCACACGAAGGGCTTCATATGGATACCTGAGAGAGTAAAACACCTGTTTTACAGAAGAATCTCCTAGTTCTATATTGGATCACAAACATCGAAAATCTTGATATTCCAGACCCAGTATGTATTAATGTAACTAGGCAGACATATTTGAGAACAAGGCACACACAGACATGGGGGCACAATAGCCGAGGTGCACACACTCACATATATGGGAAATGTTCCTGTCAATCCTTCCTGACAGTTTAGTCAGAATGGAACCAAAGCAACCATTAAATCATGCTTACCATCTCATTTCAGTCAACCATCACCGATCAACGTTTCAGTGACGGGAAAGACTGAAATAATCATTTCCATATATCTATACACACACTGACACAACATACACACACACATATATATAGGACAATGATCATGTAAGGTAGACCTTCAAATTTAGGCCTCTTTCATTTGAGGTATTTTTGGGTTGAATTCTTTGATGAGATTTTGTGAGCATGTTCTCCATGAAGTGTAGATTATGTCCACCAAGTTTTAGCTTAAAATTCAATCGGGTAAATAAATTATTGAAAAAAAACTGCATTTTCATTAAGTTATTTAACAGACTTCCCAAATGAGTTTTAAGCTAAAATTTGGTGGGACATAATCTACATGTCATGGAGAACATGCTCGCAAAATTTCATCAAAAAAATCGACCCGGAAGCACCTCAAATGAAAGAGGCCTAAAATTTTAAATTATAGGCCTACCTTACATGATCATTGTTCTATATATATTTGAGTGAAACAACATGAAGGTACATAATGCAGCCAGAAAGTGCATACCCAAGTTCCGTTATGACATCTTTACATGTCCTAGCATCTGTATTGAGGGAATGGTAAAAGCTAGTCTTCCGTTCTCCAGGTGCTGGATCATTGTCAGATAGAGTATTTGTGGTTACAGAGACAGCAACACCATCACTAGGAGCATTTCTACATTCAGAGCTATCAGAAGAGAACCATTTCAGCACTTCTCTTAAAGTGTCAAATGGAGAGAGTGCACAGTGAGCAGCCTTGTGAAAAAACTCAAAGATGGTTTCTATGAAGATCTCAATTGCTAAATGAAGATCCTGCACGAAACAATGCCAGACATCATTTAATGTGGAAAAAGTGGGCATATGAATCGAAATATGCCATTTTAAATGTGAAAAATAAAAAAGTTAAAATAAGACAAATTCATGATGCATTATACCCACCAAGCATTCATGTGTAGGATATCTTTAATGCCTGCATCTCCCACTCACACCCCAGTTAATTAACTGTCTAAGCCCATTAATAGAGCTAGACAGTAGACAAATACTAATAATTAATAAATTAAATCTTCATCCTCACCCCCCCAAAAAGGAATAAGTAAGTACAACAATACCTCAACTACGCCTCGCCTTCTATCAGTGGCACGTTGGACAACATGGTCCCTGGGAGTATTTAATCTCCTAATAGCACGTACATGGTGGGGCTGGACTTCTCCTGCCACTGTAGCAGTCCTTCGAGAGGAGCCACAGAGAAAAAAAGGTACACCCAACATAAACCTTATAGGAAAAAGTAACCATAGAAAGACACATTTGATCCAATATAACCAGTGCCGCCTCTTAGTCTTGGCAAAACTGCTTGTGGTAGAGAATCTAGAATTTTGTGATTGTGGAGTTGCTGGGTATATGTTTTCGTCATTATACTCTTCTTCCGATGAATAATCCACACTAGAGGAGCCATCAGAATCAACGGAAAGCTCATGAATGAGATGGTTAAAAGATGAGACACCGCTGACAACATAAAGAAGAAGAATGTTATATATACTCCGCACGAAGTTTTTTTTTAAACTGAGGAATGTGGGTTGTATTTGAGACTTCTCATATGGAGTTCTGGGACATGGAGAATGCATACAGTTTCCTGATCTAAAGAACTCGGTAGTTAAGAGTTAAGACTTTCATATCCCCACTCCCCACACCACCCTCGCAACAACATAAACAAAGTTGCAAGAGGTTGATACAACTTACTATAAAGATAATACAAATTAAAACTCACTTCTCCATCCATCGTGGAAGTTTAGGTCCACGAAAAGTTGGCCTAAGTTCCCAGCCATGGATACCTTCAAGGATAGAAGTCTTTCCGGGCAAGATAGTTAACAGCAATGCTGATACTCCATTTATCAGCCTTACAACATTATTCAATGATTCATAAGTGAATGTTTTCACCGACCTGGTCATACAGTTTGATAGTGTGGTTATTATTAAAGGAAACAAGTCCAACTTGATAACAAACCAGTTTGATAGTGTGGTTATTATTAAAACGTAAGCAGTATACATACATATGTGATTGTGGAAAATATTAAAAGAGCAACAACTAGAAGGTTCATTCCGAATGTCCCATTTATAAACTAAAATACAACAAACTGAACAAAGGACAAGCTTCTCAACCACGTACTTAAATCTCTATGCATAAACAAGTTTAATCTCAGTAAACGAAAAAATACATCAGAATACGACTATTCAGATGCATCTGAACCCCTTCTTATCTATAACTTTCTCTATTGGAAAACTTCTCTTTCACACGCAACCATCCTACAAAGTTCACCAAGGTATCAAACCAACAATCAGAAAAGATGTCCCTCACATATTTCTGCAACTTGATGTGTCTGGATTATTGAATTTCCTCCATGTCATATACATCCATTAATTTATAGTAAAAGGAAACAAGTCCAACTTTTTCTTATCAAGGCTGCAGCTTAGAGACAGTTCATGCATGATTCGACTATGTATGTCTAAAAACAGGGTGGGTACCAGATCTAGCTCCCTCTACGGAAACCTAGATAAACCACAAAACTACTTACCGTGTTTACAGGCGGTTTAACCTTTAAGTAGCATATAACATTCAGCTCTTTGCACTAAGCACAGGTATTTCCGAATTGATTAAGCTCTCTTTCATAAAGAGAGAGGTTTTTCCATTGCATTTAGTTCTGCGCACTACAAATGGATGCACTTTTACCTGACACCCACCATTTAGCGGAGTCTGACTTCTCAATACTCCGTATCAGGTTATCAACACATTCATAGTTTAACAAAACAGTTATAATTGTCTACCCCCACATCGACATACCATAATTTAAAGCATTTGATAAAGAAGCATCGCCTATGTAAACAGTTTAATGTCAGGGCTAATCGCAAACATATGAAGGATCTGGCACTAAAAATTGCAAATTTACCATATTAAAAACATTCCTCTTTGGCTAAGTTGCAATTAATTGAAAGAGCGAGCAATTAATCACCGCAAATGAAAAAACCACTAGAACCATTAGGGATGAAGCATGAAATCTTCGAGGAAATAAATGACGGTTCCAGCTCATAAGAATCGAATTACCCACGATCTTCAACAACGGCATATGTGCGTCACATTTACAAATCTAAGCGTATGCTGAGAGAGAAAATGAAGACTCACTCTTTGGTGATGGCAAGGGTGTTGTCAACGAGTCGTTGCATCGGTTCTAATAATTAAGATCCCAAGCTTTATATATGTGTATTATACATGTACATCGGAAAAAGGGATTATTTCCATATGGTATGAACGGGGAGGGATAAGAGCCCTATTCCGACGAATTCGGAGTTTCCCGGCGGTGGTGATTCTTGGCGTACGGAGAGAGAAGTCGGTAGTTATTCTGTAATGAAATTGTACGGCGGGTTTTAATGAAATCGTAATGGTGACGTGTCATCACTGTTCACCTCCGCGTGTATATCCTGTTGTTCGCGGAAAGCCGGGACATGAAAATGTAATAATAATAAAAACGTGTGCCGCTCACCCCCCTCCCCTTGGGTGAACCGTACCATAGAGGAGTCAAATACACCCCGTACGGATAACGAGTTTTTACATTTTCTTCACATCTTTACAATAATTCAAGTGTAATATTTCTGATATTTTTTTATGTGCTACAACAAAATAACATCCAAACCTTAGTCCCAAAAGATTTTGGGGTCGGCTAACATGAATCGACACATGATATTACCATCAAAAGGAAAAGAAAGAAAAAAAAAGATAAGCTATTATGAAAAAGATATTATAAAAATAGATGAATATACCTAAAAATGATAAAATAAAAAAAGATAAAAATAAGAATAACTAGTTAAGAAGTCATTAACAAAAATATTACTAAACATTATCTCATATTTAAATTGATATAAAACCGATTTCAACTTTCCGTATTTGGCCTCCCACTAACGGCCAGACCACCTGGTCGATCTCCTTCTCTGCAAGAACTCTTTCGTTCTACTCCAACTAAATTTTCTCATGATAACCCTATCATGTTAATTCCACATACCAATAAAACACTACCAGTGACTACTCTATATTTACTTATAATTCATTACTTCAATTACTTTACATAGCCATAAACTTACGATTCAGGTAAGCGCATTTTACTTGATAGTCATTACTACGAAGTATATACTAGGACTACCTTACTACCTCGCTACCCTATCTTCCAACTAAAAAATTACTACTCAGGTAAGCGTGTTCATTACTTCGGCCATATTTACTAAAAAAATCGGTACTTTGTGCTACATCTATCTCCATTACTATATTCACATCCATAAAGCATTGGCTACACACCCACTTCCATACTAAAGTGAATCGTTCTGTAACGTAGCAATCTCCATCTTTTCCGCAATTACATAACCGATCTTAGGGAAATCCAGATATATTTCCCTATATAGCTCTGAACGGTTTGGGGCAATCATGTCATTTCTCTGGTTTAGTTACGGGACTTCATGCGTTTTAAATAGTCAAGGTCGTACTTTTGTAAACCCTATTAATTTTGGTAATATATGTGTAAAAAACTCTAAAAATAATGTATATATATATATATATAAGGATAAAATGATTTTTTTAAAGGAAAAAGATAATACAAGATCACTCCTCCACATGAATACCCGCTCTCCACTTTACTCTTTTCAAAGTCATGCCCTCATCTAACCCAAGAAAAAACATATCACTTCGGACTCCCCTAACCTAAGTCTGTTTGGGCCTTCCTCTTCCTCTCTTCCTTGCCTCTTCTCCACACATCTCAACTTGTCTAACAGACGCATCACTCGGTCTTCTACGCACATGACCAAACCACCATAGGCGTGACTCCCGCATCTTGTCTTCAATGGGTTCTACTCCCACCCTTTGTCTGATTGTCTCATTCCTCACGTGGTCCTTCCTAGTATGCGCACACATCCAACGCAACATGCGCATCTTCGCCACACTCATCTTTTGAATGTGACATTGTTTCACCGCCAAACACTCTACGTCATACAGTAATGCAGGCCTAATTGTTGTCTTATAAAACTTACCCTTCAGTCTAGTCGACATACCTCTATCGCAAAGAAATCCTGACGCACTCTTCCACTTCATCCACCCTGTTTTGATTCTATGGGATACATCTCCATCTAACTCACCGTCCTTCTGAATTATGGAGCCCAAGTAACGGAACATATCACTGAATGTTTTAAATATTTCATGGTAATTGTGCATGGAAGAGTGCGTCGGGAATTTTTTTTATCTGTTAAATGTGATAAAATTATACGCTAAATATTTCTAGGGTTTGAAATATTTCATGGTAATTGTGCATTCATGGTGTAATAATGGTGAGGTATTTGTAATGATAATAGTTATAATTATGTAGTCATGTTATAGTAAAGATGAGATAATGGTAGTAGTTATGATCTGATCATGACTTGGTAATGGTAATGGTAGTAGTAATTATATAGTAAATTTGTGCCACTTATTTTTTTTGATGTGACCTAGTTTTGTGCGTGTAACACCCCAGCCCCGCAGGCCCCAAGGTAGTTACTTCAGACCTCTAGTACTGTCCCCACAAATATTTCATGGTAATTGTGCATTCATGGTGTAATAATGGTGAGGTATTTGTAATGATAATAGTTATAATTATGTAGTCATGTTATAGTAAAGATGAGATAATGGTAGTAGTTATTATCTGATCATGACTTGGTAATGGTAATGGTAGTAGTAATTATATAGTAAATTTGTGCCACTTATTTTTTTTGATGTGACATAGTTTTGTGCGTGTAACACCCCAGCCCTGCAGGCCCCGAGGTAGTTACTCCAGACCTCTAGTACTGTCCCCACAAACCACCACGAGCCTTTACCGCGCACTTTGTCCTCACTCATGCGCGCCCTGAGAAACTTCCCATGGGGTCACCCATCCCAAGACCACTCCCGTGCAAGCACGCTTAACTTTGGAGTTCTTGGGTGATGAGCTCCCTTAAAAGGAGATGCACCTCTGTTGGTATGAGTAGTACTATTAATTCGTTTATATTAAATGTCAAGTGTTACAATCACCCCCACTTAGGATCGCAACGTCCTCGTTGCGCCCTTGAACCAATCTCAAATCTCAATCAAATCCCAGAATCGTCCCCCGCTAAGTGCCCGCCCGATATCCAACGGGTCATCACACTGTCGTGGGGTTGCTCTGATACCACCTGTAACACCCCAGCCCCGCAGGCCCCGAGGTAGTTACTCCAGACCTCTAGTACTGTCCCCACAAACCACCACGAGCCTTTACCGCGCACTTTGTCCTCACTCATGCGCGCCCTGAGAAACTTCCCAGGGGGTCACCCATCCCAATACTACTCTCGTGCAAGCACGCTTAACTTTGGAGTTCTTGGGTGATGAGCTCCCTTAAAAGGAGATGCACCTCTGTTGGTATGAGTAGTACTATTAATCCGTTTATATTCAATCTCAAGTGTTACAGTACGCGGGCATTACGCAGGTGCAAGTTCCATATGGACGACCTGAGGCTCCATCAGGACTGGCGGCTTCATCGCCTTCTCCGGCCAGGCCGCCGCCAAGTGCCACAGTGTGGTCCGGCAAATCGTTTGCAAACATGGTTGCTAATCACACGTCTTCTTCATTGACATCAAAGGTTCTAACGAGATTTAAGGGAATGCCATCTGTTAGCTTCCCTAAGAGTGATACCCAGATATTGGTTGAGCACCATAAACGATCTTTGATCGGGTACTTTTTTCCCGTGGATGACCAGATACGAAAACAATCATAAAATCGTTAGAAATTATTGGATTTGATGGGGCCTTTCATCTAGGTCTTTTGGAGAAAAAGCATATTTTGATTCTTTTTGAATTAAAGGAGGACTATTTGAGGTGTTGGAATAGGCAAACATGGTTGATCAATGACAGCACCATGAGAGTGACCAAATGGTCTATGGACTTCCAAGCAAATGTTAAATCACATGTGGTTCTCGTTTGGATTGCATTTGAGGGTTTACCAATTCATCTACACGATAAGCGCCTTGTTTGATATAGCTAGTCTGATTGGTACCCCAATTAAAATAGATTCAGCAACATCTACCCTACTAGACCATCAATTTCTAGAATTTGTGTTGAGCTAGATTTAACTAAGGATATGTCACAGAAGATCTGCGAGAACATACCACTTTGTTGTTCTCATTGCCTTCATCTTGGGCATTATGAGAAGAATTGCCCAAAGCAACCGTATAAGGATTCTCATATACTTCTTAGCTAAGGAGAAGTGGATTGCTAAAGCTACCATGCAAATGAGGAGACACAACACCCTCCATTGAAGAGGGAAATCAAACTCAAAAAACCAACCAACAAATAATACTCTTATTACAACCTGAATTTTCAGAAATACTTCATAATTAAGCAAGGAAATATTTCTTCAATACATGATGATAGTCATGTTAAAACCCTTAAACAGTAGATGGGGTATGATCATGAGCTAATCCAAAAGGGTTACCCTTCAGATGGTGAGACCTCCAAAAAGCCGCAACCTTTAAGTAATTGGGAACTCAACTGATCAGAAATAACTTCAAGAGTGGATGCTTTGGTTCAAATAGCTGCTAAAGTTTCAGAGAAAAATACCCTACCTGAAGCAGAGGAACACAACTTGGTGCTTATAGGAATTGGTTCATACAGAAGCTGATGAAGTGCATGAGCTGATGAAAATCACTTCTGGGACTAAAGGCTTTCTAGATGTTGTGCTGACACCTGTGGAGAGGGATGATGATTTTATTATAGTCACTAACAAGAGAGCTCGTATGAAGGAAATCACAGAGGCACCTTCCAGATTAGCTAGACATGCTGATAAAAAACAGAAAAAAAAATATGGATCACAATCAAGATGTAGGCATACTGCCATCTCAAACTAATCTCAATCTATCCTAATGAATTTCTATTTTGGAATATAAGAGTATTGGACACCTCTAAAGCCATATTGGGATCCCTGATTAGGCAATGGAGGATTCATATTCTTATTTCTATCGAACCTATTGTTGACAGTTCTAGAGCTCATTCTTTCCAACAGGATTTTGTTTTCAACAAGTTCTTTTCTCCCGCATGAAAAAAATTCAAATTTTTTATGATCCAAATGACTTTGTCATCTCTTAAGTCACTTGGCACTCTCAATTTCTACATATGATAAAAGCTCTCATTTTTCTGGTTGGTTAACAGCAGTTTATGGAAGACATCACTATTTGATTAGAAGGCAACTTTGGAGTGCTCTGGTCGATATTTCTAGGGCTATGAGTGAGCCATGGATTATTGGTGGTGATTTTAGCTATTTCAATCATAGTGAACATTAGGAAAGTGATATTCCTAATCTTAGAAGTATTACGGATTTTCCTAACCGTATTGGTGCTTGTGATTTTATTGATCTTCCCTATTCTGGCCCTAAATTTTCCTAGACAGGGTTAAGATCAAATGG